CATCATTCTACTTATCATCATCATCATCTTCATGATCATCACATTCATTATTATCACCAGTAAACTAATTCATTACGGTCATAGATATTTTTCTTTAAAAAAAAAAAGAATGATGTAATAATTGAAGTGGTGACATAATTGTAAGATGTAGAATAATGACCTATACTTCACAGTAAGTACATTAAATAAAATCAAATTCCAGGTTTTCCATGGTGGTCTAGCTTCAATTGACTCACGCTTTCAACATTGATAAAATCAAATTTAACAGAAGTATTTTAGTGTGTATGTATGTAGGTATATAAAATATGTGAATCAGTTCAAATTAATTGAATCACACCAACAAACCAAGTTGAAATAATTTTTTTTTCAAAAAGACAAAGTAAAATAAGTCTCTTCTGTAATAAAAAAGGATGAGAGTTACAGAATGATGTTGTGTTGTGGTCTACTTATATCCTTATAAGTAGTATCTGGTGATGGTTAGACATAGAATGTATTTTGGCAGAAGACCAATAAGGAAAGAACAGGAATGAAGTACAATTTATGAGAAAGTGAATGAACAATGAAATTAGAGAAGATGAATTGATATTTACAGAAGGAACAGTGAAAATTGAGACAATTGATTGTTATTTTGCAAATTAACTGTTTACTGTATGGTTATCAGAATTTAGTGGGATAGTTTGTATTTTGTGTCTAAATACATTCGCTTGTCCCCGGTCGTGTTCTCGTTCACTACAATGTGAACTGACTAAAATTAAGTGCCCAGTAGAATAGTAAGTGCATACTAATACAGAATTTCGGACTTAGATGAACAGATATCCAATGATTCTTTTATTTTTCATAATTATTCAGCTGAAGTCAGTAATTGAAGTTTAACTTCAAACTGAACGTCTTTCTACCATCTGTAATAAAGAAAAGGACTATATGTTCGAAATACGTCTTGTGGAAAAAGACTAGAATCTGAGGATGTAATAAAATAAATAAATATTAAAAATTGAAATTAAGAAGAAGATTAGGAATAATCTGCTGTTTATTATGAGCTCTGCAGTCTTTTATGACGATTTTTACCAGTATCCTAAGATAAGTATTATTTTTTCTTTGGTTAAGGTTCAACCAACGTAAATGGACTTGTGAAGGTTCAAGTTATTTCACTTTCTGTAGTCATACTGAAAATTTATACAGGCTGTTATACCAAAAACCAAGTGAGTTTCGTCAATCAGTGCAAACGTTTTAATAAATTTCCACATTCGATTATAAGATTATTATATAGTATATTGTAAGTGGTTCAACTATAATTTTTTTTAAGCTATAATAAGCTTGAGTGACTCTTAAAAGCGTTTCAGTCTTATTTAGACCATAATTAGAACCAAAATGTTTTTGTATGTACTGACTATCTTTTGGTGGTAATAGGAGACATTTATTAGCCTTTATTATTTATACTGTTGTGTGTGCTACTGATGTCGACAGATATAAGTAGTATTTTCCGTAAATCGAAAATAAAATGCCTGAAGGCAGATGGTTAAGATCAAAGAAAAGACAACAAGAACAACCAATTATTGGTGTGAAATCAAAAGAACAATGAATTCTGAGAAAATTGATTGATATTTGCAGAAGAAACAGTCAAATTTGAGACAATTGAGTAGTAGTTTGCTAATAAAGTATTTACTTTACGGTTCTCAGATTTTACTAAGATTTTCTGTAATTTTGTATTCAAATACTTCCAATTGTCCCTCACTGATATCATCTTTCACTACAATACGACTTAAGTCATATCTAGTCATATAGTGGATAATAATGCAAATATTAACTCACTGGTTGTCCAAATTAATATCTCAATTTAAAGTCTATATATATAACCAAACCAATATAGTTCAATATATAAGAACTTTCGTCTAAATTAGAACAAATAGTTTTACAGTAGTCGGGCGCCGAGTTCATCTAAGACATTAAATAGAAATAATGTGTTTGTAAAATCTCAGCGAATTTGTAATAAATCCAACGTTTCACCTGGCAATCTGGTCCAAGATTTTTCAAGGAGAAAGCTTGTCCGGCGAAAGGTTGGATTTACTTCAAATTCATTCGCTGAGATTTTACATGTATATTATTTTTATTTAATGTAAATATAGTTCAACGTGTCAGGTGAAAGATGACCTATGATGTCCCAAACCATATAAAAATCCTTCAAGTGCAGCAATTGTACCTAGTGCCATTTTTTTCTGTTGTTAAACACCGACTTTGCTAGTCTGTTTGTATGAAGTAATATCGTATAACATAACATTTGAATAATTCTCCTTGAAAATTCACCGGTTTTTGTCTACATAATGGATATGAATATCATCTGCAGTTCTCGACATTATTATTATATCTAATATACTTATCCTTTATATTAGTTACCATATTGTAATCATAAATCAATATAAATTATAAATGACATCTAAATGAACGAAAACACCGCCAAATGTATTTATACAAAAACTAAAGAATGTTTTAATGAAATATGAGAACCACACATTGAATACTTCATTTTCAATTTCCTTTCTCTTCAACTTGATCTTCTAAGTCTTCTGTTGCCAAGGTTTCCACTTGTAATTAGTGTTAAATACTAATTATGCCTGTCAACATAAGTAGGCATACATCAAACTAACTTTTCAATTTATACAATAAATTGATATTTAATTGAAAAGAAATTGTTTGTTTTTATTTCCCCCCCCTCAGTTTTATAACTAATTACCGATTTTTCATCTTTCATTCATTTCATCCTTCATATAAACTGAACTGACACTTCTCTATTTCATTTTTATTTCTATCCTCCTAGTTTATTTATTTAATGATGTTCATTAATTAAATTCTGTTTATTTTTTTTTACTTTTCTTTTTATAAATGTCAAAAAAATTCATAAAAATTGAATTAAATAAGAAAAGAAAAAAAATTTTTTTTTTCCATTTAAATAATTAATTAGTTGTTGACACAGGTTGCCATGTGTATAAATTCATTAGTGTGTAATTAAATTAATAAATAAGAACTATGTTAGGTTTATAAAATGAAAATTATTTTTTGTTTTTTTAAGAAATTGTTTTGTTTAATCTGAAAATATCACTGGGAGAGAAAACTAGTAATCCTTAGTGTATCATTAAATGAATGGTAAAAGTCAACACATGATCTCTATTACTATTTAATACCGTTATGAGGTATTATTACTTGAGTATTTGAACAACTATCATATCAAATCTATTGAATTTTCATTGTTCAAATCATGAGTCAATTGAAGCTAGACCACCATGGAAAATCTGGAAGCACTCGACGGCCGTTTCGTCTTATTATGTTCTAGCTTCAATCGACTTATGATTTCAATTATGAAAATACTGAAATCTCCACAAAACCCCTTCAAATCTATTGAAGTTGTTGTTTTTTATTGCTCATTCATGTAACGATGTAAAGTGTTAAAACTTTCTATTTTGAGACATAATTTAACTGTTAATCGTAGGTTGGATTCTGAAAACACTTGCCTTCATAGTCAGATTGTGTCATTTTACATCATTCTATCCACATGTGTTTTAGGAAATTATATAATATTAGAAGGTGTTTTTGTGGATATTATAGTAATTTTAATAGTTGAGATCAAGAAACAATTGAAGCTAGACTGGGTTTCCATGATAGCCTAGCTTCAATCGATTCATGATCTTATTTATCAAAGTTATATAATAGTTCAAATTATGGGTAACCGATTACTTTCAAAAGTATGTGAAGGCTTTCAGCAATTATTAGAATTAAATTATTTTCATTTCACTAAACATCTTGATCTTATTTCTTGATTTATTGTTAGGCTATGGCTAATAAATAAAAAATAAGTCAGTAAAATAACTGAACACATATCTAGTTTCCTAAGTGACTTGATTTATATGTACCTAAATATTAGTGACAAGAAATGTGAACTACAGTAAGTTTATCTTGTATGTTTTATAAAAAAATTTAATGATTTGCATCTGTTCTTGATAATAATCATACACAATACTATTACGTTAATTAATAAACAGAAGATTTAGCTAATGTTATAATGATGTAGTATAAATTACTGTCTCACTGAAGCAAAACTAGGATCGATGCATTGATATTGATACCATGTTAAAAAGAATGTAATTAACATGAAAGTAACTGCAGCACTTTTTAATCAAACTTATCGGAAACACAAAACATTTTTCTAGCCACGAAGAGAAAAAATAAGATTTCTGTAGAGACCTAAGCCTTGACAATGTAACAATAACTATGACAACACATAGTTTCTTTATTCCTTATACCTTGAATACTTTGCCCTAACTTTTCTTCATATATATATATAATTGAAACCTATGAATATCATCTAAAAATGCATCTAAATATGTTGTCATTCGATAATCCAATGTCTTTTCTGACGTTTGTTTTATACAAGAAGAGAATTGCTCTGAAGATTATAACATGAATCTATTCTATTTCGTTTAACTTTAATCATTTAGCTAAAAAGTATCTAATCCTTCAGTGTTAACAAGTAAAAATGAATGTCAACAAGCTTTTACAAGGATGAATTAGGTTTAAAATTAGTGACAGAGCATAAATATGGTGTATCAAATATTATTATGAGAACAAGGTACTCTTTTTAGACTCTGACACTAGCCATAGCCTCACTTTACTGAAAAAATAAATAAGCTTACGTAGCCAGTAATTGACGATATTACTGTGAATAGTTCGAAAATATTATTTCAGAGATAAATTACCGTCGGCTGAACAACATTTTAAGTAATCACCGTGGTATACTGTCAACTTAAGTTAGACTAAAATTGATCACATTTCTAGGACTAATTAGTTTACTGTCCAATTGTTTATCAGCATTATTGATCACCACGCTACCATTCCTGAATTCAGGGTCTTATCAGTATTAAGTCTGAAAACATATGAGAAGTAAGTTTTTACATGATATAATCTAGCATTAAGAAAAATTGACCTGATAATCTGGAAACTGATTGACTTACGTAATTGTTCCAAAATTAGAAAATGCTGCCAACAAAGTTTCATCCTGCACCTCTGGAGCTAGATCACCAACAAATATATGAAATGAATCTGAAACGATAAAAAAAATGCCGAAAATATGCTTTCGTAAACTCTTTCATCTATCATAATCAATCAGGCTAAACTGCTCAGTATGTCGATTATAAATGTGTATTAAGGTAATATTTTAAAGGATAAAATTATAGTGTTTCCAACAAAATATCTAGAGGTTTGTGTGGTATTTATTTATTTTAATGTTTTGAGACCTGTACAACCGTGAAAACGAAGTATGTTACTTCTAAAACGTTTTGTGTATCACTAAAATGTAGAGTTGATCGAGTTACTGGAAACAGAAATTTAATTAGTACTGTTGACAATATGAATGAAAACATTAGAGTTATACTTTTTAAAAAGTCCTCAGTTGATATTATTAATTTCTAATCGTATTTTCAAAAGATACAATTATCATTGTTTTTATGATGCAGTTTTAGGTAGTTATGTGATATATGATTGTAATTTGAATACTACTTGGGGTCTGAATCCATTACATAGGTTTTATTTTTGCAGACATTTCTGGGTAATCCACGTTCAGAGTGATGTTGAGCTATACACTGAGGCTAAGCAAGATCGTTCAGCTCTTCATTTGAATAATGCCACTCATTCACCATAACTTTCAATGAGCGTGATATAGGGTGGTTGATAGTAGATAGGAAGAGGCTCATAACCTTGTTGAAATTCGTCACCAAATCTCACCTCTATTGTTGATGGGAGTGTGATGCTCGGTCCTGCTTCATAAAGCTTTCCAACATTAGGTGACTAATGGTATGTTCGTTAACGTAGCTATATTCCTTAGAGTAATATACTTTTAATCACAAATTTACTGTCATTTGGAAAGTCACAAACTGAACATTAATATATTGTACAGGTTACAAACCCTTCTTTAGTAGAAATCGATTTAATTATATACTACTTCATTTCTGTTCGTAAGATGGAAGACGATCAATGAAACATAGGTTCATATCGTCCTCTAGATTTCTAATCATTATAGTACATCTGAGTCTACCTTTATATAATTACATTACAGAATTGTTAAAACATAAACATTATTAAGAAGATTCAGTTAGAACTAAGTATTAGTTTATCATAAGACTGTTTGTAAGAAACGTTAAATTTTCTAACTTAATAAATGAATTATACTACTGAACAAAGAACAATTATATTAACTGTATCATATGAAAAATAACTTATTTTTATCTTTGACTGCTTGATACATTCACTACTATATATTACTAAATTATTCGAATATTCCAATATTATCTACATTTCTTTTTGATCATTAAAAGTTACTTCCTATTACAAAGTAACAAGTCATTAAATAAATGGCCAAAATTTGGTTATTTGTTCTCTGAAGAAGTGGCTTACACTGAGTGACGAAACGTCGGAAAATCTAATCTTTCTACTCATTGGAATATTTCAAATATATTCATTATTGATAACAATCTACTCAATGCTCAATTTATTCAAAATTATCAAATCAAAACTTGGTAATGATACCTATATTACTGAATAGTTTCTTTTTTATAGTAAACTATATTACTATATAAACCGTGTTGATATTTTATTCATTCTATAGTATGTCAATACCATATTCTGTTTATGAATTAACCATGATGACATCAATAAAACATTTATGTTATATTACCCAGCATGTAAATGTAACAATAAATTTTGGCTTAAATCACTTGAGCTTCTTAAAAAGAAGTCACTGGTTTGTTTCATAGGAAAGAAAAATAAAATTACTATTTATGCACACTTTGGTTATATCCCAATGAATAGAAAAAATTGTATTTCTGACGTCTACTCTGAAGAGATGACTTAAATTAAGTCACGAAACGTTAGAAATACAATTTTTCTACTTATTAGCATATAACAAAATTATACTTATTATTCACTCTCTACCCAATGCTCAATTTATTTGGAACTATCAAGTCCAACCTTGGTAATGATACCTGAAAACGTTTTATTATTTACGGAATCTGAATGTAACATTTATGTAGAAAGAAAATATCTTTAAGTAAAAAACTTTTACTTACAATAGTGAATATATATGGATTTATTCAAAAACGGCGATTTGTAAAAATGATACGTATTATTCATATGTACTCTAAGATGGTGTAACATACTTTCTGCTTAATAGTAAATGAAAAACGTCAGTAAACTAACTGACTTCATCATTTATCATTGTTTATCTTAGTCGCTTTAAGCAACAATAACAATATTCTTTTCTATTGTTTGTTTGAATCTTCTCATTCAACTGACTAGTCTCAAACAGAACGAAACGCACGTCCTGGATTTCACTGCTAGCCACCATCCATCTTTGTTTATAATAATAATGATCTTTTTTTTAAATGTTTACCTAAACAAAATATCATATTATCATTCAGACGAAGAAATTATTCATTATGAATTGATGATATAACATAATATAATTCTATTATATCAAGAGATCAATTCATCAACTGTCATACCAATGAAATTAATTCATACATATTTAAAAAGCAATACTTAATTTAACTGGATTATTCCATCACAGTAAATCTAGTTCAATAAATTCACTTAGTATTGTTTGTTTGAACCTTCCCATTGATGTGTTAGGACTGCAACTGGTCAGTCTCTAATTGGCATATGTGCATACTGTGCGTATTGCCTTGATATAGCCTTGATTCACAAGCATGATAAGCAAAGATGGATAATGGGTTCGTGTCCCAGAGTGAACGTCAACTCTGAGATGCAGGTACATCCAGCTGACGCGTCCCAAATAAGACGAAACGCACGTCCTGGATTCCACTGCTATCCACCATCCGTCTTTGCTAATCATGCTAGTTCAATAAAGTTGTTCGCGGTAGACTTTCTATCAATCAACTTAAAAGTATCAATTATTCACTCATATCATATCTATGCAAAACAACAACAGTGACTCTATAACATTTTAGATATAATTTAATCAACACTAAGAAATAAGATACTTTACAATTGTAATTGCAATATGAATAATTTATAATATTCAGTATTGTTTTCTAATTTGTTCCATAATAAGCAGAATTGATGTAAAAGGGTGTTTAATTTATTTTACTTCAAAGGTAAATGAATGGTATATATTATAATATTTCAGCAATAAAAAAAAGGAATCGTTAAATAATTTACTATTATATTAGATACAATTGTAGAACTAAATATACGATTTAGAAAATCATTAATTGGATTATAAAATGTTTAGCTGTCACTATAGTAACAGTCGGAAATTAGCGGTGATCATTATTTTATTTAAAATTAAAACAAAATAGTAGTTTAATAAAAGGCTTAAATAACAAACTTTTAATGAACATATTATTGAAAATAGTTTTAAATTGTATATATGTATATACGCTGAAAAACAATGAATAATGAATTAGATTTTAAAGCTATTGGGATTTGGTAACAGAAAAGTAAACAACAATTACATCATTATCAGTTATAGTAATATGTTGCTGAAACAAGATGTATTAATTTTGGAGATAAATGTAAATTAAAAATCTTTTGGTATTATTTAACTAAGATATACCTTATGAATGGATGAGATTGATATAGTTTGAAATGTTTAATAATACTGGGTCTTTCGTGAATCATTTCATTTATATGAAGATGTTATTTTACTTATTAAAAGATGAATTTCTCAGAAAATTGATATATTGGTTGCATATTTGTTGTTACAAATGTTTGGTTGGTTAATAGTTTTTGTCCTTTTTCATTTATTATAGTTGAAAGCGTGAGTCAATTGAAGCTAGACCACCATGGAAAACCTGGAAACAATGGGCGGCCGTTTCGTCCTATTATGGGACTCCTCAGCAGTGCGTATCCACTTTTCATTTAGTTTCATGTGTTTCGATCTAACTGCTTAAGTGTTAATAATATATCAATAAACACTTTGTAACAGATTTTATATTAAATTCATTTTGAATTGTTTGTTTGAATCTGCTTATTGAGGTTCAGAACTGCTATTGATCAGTCTCTTATTGACATATGTACATCTTTATCGGATTGCCTCTATATTGCTTTAATTTACAAACATTTTAACATCAACACTGAGATGCAGGCACATCTAGCCGGGGTGTTCGAAATAGGATGAAACGCGCATCCGAGATTCCACTTCTAGCCACCATCCATCTTTCCTTATAATCTTGGAATAAATTTAGTATTAAGATGGAAGAGTGTAAAATACGTCATGCTAAAGTGACTAGACACATATTAAAGAGATAACCTCAAGGTAAATATGTTTATAGTCAATACAAATGTAACCAGTTTCTCGTTTACATATCAGAAAATTTATTTACGTAACCTAGACCAAATGAATATTCTACAATATGACAATACATATTCATAAAAACGATAACTTTCATTTAACTGTTCAAATAATAATGAGTATTGTGTCATCAAAAGAGAAAATACTCATGACGAAAGTACTTTCAATAAAACTACTATTATTCATTTTATAATCAAAATCAAAATTTATTTCAACATGAAATGAAATACAAAAGATGAAAAAGGGAAAAGTAGAAAAGAAAAGAAAAAAGAGAATCCAACATTTTACTTGTCATTATTAAAACACGAAGTTCCACGAAGGGATCTCTTTTCAACGAATTTATTATCAAGCTTCACAAGCGTATAAATATGAAAATGTTTCGTTAAAGTACTAATTTCGTGAGGAAATGTGAACACTAATAACCAAGATTATAATACTGGATTACGTAATATGAATAATAACAATAGACTGAGTGAATAGAATAAGATGATTAAAATGTTTTGTTGAAAGCGTGAGTCAATTGAAGCTAGACCACCATGGAAAACCTGGAAACACTGGACGGCCGTTTCGTCCTATTATGGGACTCCTCAACAGTGCGCATCCACGAACCTGCTCTCGCGAGCGAGATTCGAACCCAGGACCTACCAGTCTCGAGCCGAAGCCCTTAACCGATAGACCACTGAGCTGGCATCCAACGGTGTTAATGTCTAACTTCAACTGATCCACGAAGTTG